GGTTAAAAGAGACAGACAACGAGTTTGACAGCTTCAGCCAAGTCCCCGAGTCCCCAATTGGGCGGGAAGAGGAGCCACACCTCTACATGGTGGCCAAGAAGTACAGGAAGGTAGTGGCCTTCTGGGGCACAGGGGAGGGGCTGGCTGGGAGTCCCCAGGCTGGGCTCATCGGGGGGGCGAAGGACCCGCCTGGGCCCAAGCACCTGCCCACGTCTCCGTGGGGAGCACCTGGGCATTGTGCCGGCGTCCCATGGTGTGGGAAGGTGTCTGTTGAACACGTTTGCGTCTCTGCTCAGGTCACGATCAAATACTCCAAGCTGGGGCTGGAAGACTTTGACTTCAAGCATTACAACAAGACGCTGTTTGCGGGCCTGGAGCCCCATATCCCCAACGCCTACTGCAACTGCATGATCCAGGTGGGAAACACCCCAGCCCTGCCCAGACCACCACGGCCCCCTGGGACCTGCCCTGACTGCTCCGTCTCTGCCAGGTGCTGTATTTCTTGGAGCCGGTCCGCTGCCTGGTCCAGAACCACCTGTGCCAGAAGGAGTTCTGCCTGGGCTGCGAGCTGGGCTTGCTCTTCCACATGCTGGACCTGTCCCGAGGAGACCCCTGCCAGGTCTGTGGTGAGCCCAGGCGTGACGTGAGGCCGGCGGGCTGGGCTGCCTGGGAGGGTCAGAGAGATCGCAGAGGAGCAGGAGCCGGGTGGCGCCGGGTCCTTGGGTGACGGCATCAGACAGCGTGGAAACTCCTGTCACTTGACCTCGGTGACATGCCGCTCTTGCCCCATCCCCAGGGAAGCAACTTTTTGCGGGCTTTCCGCACAATCCCAGAGGCTTCGGCGCTGGGGCTGATCCTGGCTGACTCGGACGAAGCCACAGGGAAGGTGAACCTGGGGCGGCTGATTCAGAGCTGGAACCGTTTCATCCTTACTCAGCTGCACCAGGAAACCCAGGAGCAGGAGGGACCGCAGGCATATCGGGGGGCTGGCAGCAGGTAAATCCCCGGCCTGGGGACAGGACAGGGACCGAAACCAGGACACTGAACCAGGGAGGGGGGCTAGCTCCCAGAGGCCCCATCCCGTCCCTCAGGAAGGAGCTTTCTTGCCACCCACGTCTGCCCTGAGGGCTGCATGGGAACATGCGGAGCTGCAGGCTGTCCCTACAGCCGGGTTTGAACCCTGTGCTGAACCTCTGTCCCTCCTAGGCCTAGCCCCCCCGCTTGGTGGGCTGGGGCTGCGCACAGGTCACTGGCTCTGGAAGCCCGATGGCTGGTTCCCCAAGAGCTGCTGGAATCTGGGTGCTGGCCCCAAACGGCCCTCGTGCAGCCCGAGATGCGTGGGTCCTCAGCGCTCAACCCACTGTACCAGCCAGCCCCACTCCGCAGGGAGTGCTGGGATCCTGCTAACCCCGGTGCTCTTTTTCTCCAGCAGCTTTGGGTCCTCGGGGGACTCGGTTATCGGGCAGCTGTTCAGCTGCGAGATGGAGAACTGCAGCATGTGTCGCTGCGGCAAGGAAACCGTCCGCGTGTCCTCCACGCTGCTCTTCACCCTCTCCTACCCCGAGAGCACTGGTAACGGGCAGGGGTGGGCAGGGCAGGGCCTGGCACGTTTAACGCTGCTGCATTTCCGTGGCCCGGCGGGGTTTGTTATCTGTGTGGATGAGCCGTGACTTTTCCAGGTGATAGGCACCCGCAGCAAGGAGCTTCTGCAGTGGTCTGGCCCCAGCTGTGGCAGACCCGGCAGCCGAGGTCTAGTGGTGGGTTTCCAACCAGCCAAGCTTTTGGCTACAGAAGGGCAGATTTGGGGGTTGACCTTCTCACTGGTGGTTGTGAGGAAAACCCCAGAGGTTTGGCTGAGCTAAATTGGTAAAGATTTGTGTGTTGGAAGGTGACGTTATTCTCCTTTCTCCTGTCAGAAAAGCCGGTCAAAGATTATGAGTTTGCCCAAATTTTAAAGCGAAGCATCTGCTTGGAGCAGAACACGCAAGCCTGGTGTGAGAACTGTGAGAAGTACCAGCCCACGGTGAGCCCGGGAGAGGGGTGCGAGCACGTCGTGCTTCACGGGCTGCGAGGGGGTGTGGGAGAAGGGTGTGAGCGCCCCGTGCCGCCGGCTGAGCGGAGGCAGTTTCTCCATTAGTCAGCGGGGAACCTCCTGCGCGGATGCTGGAGATTCGGTTCCTGGCCTGGATGGCGAGCTGGTGTGGTGTGGGGTATTTCCTGGGCTGTGCGAGCGCTGGAATGCGTCTCGCAGGTCACGCGGATCCCAGCTGAATCCCCCCTGGGGTAGGGGGCAGAGGGAAACCCCCCAGGAGCTGAGCACACCTGCTCAGGGCGGCGGACTGCTCCCTGCCTCAGTTGTTCTTGCAATACCCCCAGCTACCAGGAACCTGGCCAGGCAGTGGGGAGGAAGCTCTGCAGGCAAAGGCGTTGGAGGAGGGAAGAGGGTAGCACGTGCCAAATCCAGTTTTGAACCTCTCCAGGGCTCTCGGTGCTGCCTGGCTTCCATCTCCTGCTCTCTCTGCAGGTCCAAACCCGGAACATCCGCTGCCTGCCGGACGTCCTGGTCATTAACTGTGAGGTGAACAGCTCCAAGGAGGCAGATTTCTGGAAGACACAGGCTGAGGTGGGGGAGGCACTTTTGGGGCAGAAGCAGGCTTGTTCTCCCTGGCACACGGGGTTTGCTGCGTGTCCAGTTCTGCGGAGGTGTTTTCACTCTGATCTCGCTGTCTCTAAGTCTCTTGCTCTCCACCCGAGCGTCACCCTACTTTGTTTGCAGAGGACATGTTGGTATTTGGTCATGCTTGTAGCATGAGCCGTGCGTTTGGAGTTGGAAAAGACAAGATCTCCTGCCATGACAAAGCTGACGGGACTGCAGTAGAGTCACTCTTTGATTCCCCCAGTCCCCCAGGACCTAGGAGCAGCAAGGCAGTGCCCGCTTCCCGGAGCACAAGCCCAGCAGAGAGCGGGCGGACAGTTGGGTTTCCCTCGCTGTCTTTTTCCCTGTCACCGACTTTAAAGTCCCTGTCTTTTTCCCACTTCTGGCCTGGCTGTCACCCACGTGTTTCCAAGCCCAGCCTGTCACTCCGCGCTGACGCTTGCCTGTGTTTCGTTGCCAGTATGCCTTTCAGAGAGCCATGATGAAGAGAGGAGGCTTTGAGATCACCAAAGGCAAAGAAATCTCTCTTGGAGAGTGGTAGGTGACCATCCCTGCGGTGGCGACTCTGAGCAGTGACGCCTTCTGGGTTGTTCTCTGGGCCTTGGATAGCTCGGGGCCATTTCTCATCTGATAATGATAATTTGATAATCTACCTGTCTGTAACTCCTCGTGCGCTCTGAACTGGAACAGTCTCATTGCTGCTCTTGAGACTGTGACCCTCTATGGGCGCTCTGTGCAGCATCCCCTTCAGATACCCTTGTGATCCACCTTGTGATCCACTTTTGAGCCCCCAGCCCTCATTCCCCTTCCCTTTTCAGACTGACAAAAAACGCAGGACTGTGTATCGGCCCTTTCTAGCCGACATTAGCTGACCACCTTTCCCAGGGTCCTGCTGTAGGCAGCTGCGGGGAAGTGCTGCAGCTCTGGCTTCCCCATCTGTCCTGCAGAAGGTTTAGGAATAGGCTGGTGGGTGGGTGGGTGGGGCAGTGGGGATCCTGCCCTGGAGAAGTTGGCCTGGATGACATCTCGTGACTCCCTCCAACTCGGCCTTCCGTGATTCTCCATGCAGGAAGGAGCTGGGGAACCCCTACACGGGGCATTCGTATCCTTCCGTGGAGGAACTGAAGAACATTTGGATCCCCCACGCCATCAAGATGAGGCTGACCAAGAGCAAGGAGTTAGATGTCTGCAACTGGAGTGAGAGCGATGAGGTAAAGGCTGATGAGATACCTCTGGGGCTACGTGGTTGTGTGCACGTGGGGCTGCGGGAGCAGAACTGCTTCAGAACCGCTTTCTGCTGAGCGTGTGTGGGCGAGAGATAATGAGGCTGTCTCGGAGACGCCTCGGGTGAGCATGGAAACCTCTGGGCTGATGGTGAGACGGCATGTCCGAGCTCTGGGGTTTGGGTTGGAGGCCTGGGAGCTGCCTGGCAGACAGTCAGGGGCTCAGACATTTCCCCGGGGCCGGTTCCTCTTGCAGCTGAGCCCGACTGACGACCCCGAGTTGGTCTATGTCTACGATCTAATGGCCACCGTCGTCCACATCCTGGATTCCCGCACAGGGGGCAGCCTGGTGGGGCACATCAAAGTGGGAGAGACCTACCACCAAAGGAAGGAGGTGAGAAGCCCTGCGGGACAGGTGCTCTCCTGCCCACCGCCAGCGTACCCACAGGCTGCCGAGAGCAGCTCTGCTCTCCGGGAGTCCTGCCTTGCCAAGGCATCCTCGCCCACGGCTTGCTCCAGGGCCGGGTCGTTTCACAGACCTGTTCCTGGGTCTCTTAGTCAAGTGTTGAGTGTTTGGCTGAACGTGCCGGGCAGCGCTAAACAGCCAAGTGCTGCTTGGGCACCTTACGGGGAGGGAAGGGCTGAAGAAGCACGCTTCCCACGCTCGCTCAGGCTGGTTCCTCCTGGGTCACGGGCATGTTGCCAGCTTGTCGTGCTTCCAGGTAAGGGCTGAGATGTCATCTCCCTTCCCGAGGAAAAGGGGGCTGGTCTGGGCAGTCCTGTTGTCTGGTGGAGATGCCCAAGCCAGGAGTTCCCAGAGTGTGTCAAGGCTGCATCCCTGTCTCTTATCTGTTGCATCTCCGTGGAGTTTTGGTTAGGAGTCGGGCAGAGACCGTGCCTGTCCAGCCCGAGTGCTTCACGTACGCATCATCACCACCCAGGCCAGCAGGGATTTCCCCACGGTGTCCCAGGAAGGGCGGGAGTTCCCACATGGCAT